CAATCATACAGCCAAAATCCAAAGGAGGTTTGGGGATCTCAAATCCCACCACACATATTATGGCACTGACCCTAAAATGGGTTAAAAGCCTCCTTTTCGATACTGAAATCCCTTCGCGACAACTGACCCTACAATAGATCAGAAGGCTGCCCCCACCCACGCCTGAGAGCATAGACTCGATCGGATGGTTAGAGGATAAATATTGGACTATACCATGAAAGGCAACGAGAGTCAATGAGGAACATGAATCCAATAGACGAGCGGTAACGACAGACATAAAAAACGACCCTTTCTGGACCACACTTCTCAACACGTGGCGCAAGCTACCGCTCCCGGACAAGGTAGCCCCGCGACGGTGGAAAAAGGTGTATAGGCAACCGCTATTTGGGAACCACTGGGTCACCGACTCCCAAGGCTCAGTCTTTCTCTGCACTGCAGCCGCTCTCTCAACTGGGCTTCAGTGATTCAGTCTCTGGTGTCCTCATCCCAGATATCCCCCACTCTAAGAATGCCCCAACTTACCCATGCCCTCCAGGCTGGAGGGGATGGGTAAGTCGGGGCGTTCTTAGAGTGGGGGATATCTAGGATGAGGACACCAGAGACTGGATCACTGAAGCCCAGTTAAGAGAGCGCTTGCGATATTGTCACAGTATTGGAGAAGCTCTTGAAAATTGTCTTCTCGTTACCATTGGATTCAGTAAGGATTTTGAGGAAAGGGCGAACCCTGGATGAAAGTGACTGGGTAGGGATCAGGGGGTGTGTGGATCGGGTGGGAAATGTGGTGGTGTCCGACCGCCCCAATGGAGAGGTGTTGGTGAATCTCTTTCTGATCAAGAGTAAAAATAGACTAGTTAGGACACATCCGGAAGACACAAGGTGGCTTAAAGAAGAGGAAATCTTCCGAATTAGGGTGCTAAAGGAAGGAGAACAGTGGTCGGCATACAAACCTGATACCTCGATTGCCCACCTAGTCATTGATCCGACCTCTTCGGTCTGGACCACCCAACTAGGCAGAGGTAAGACAGGAAAACAACAGATACATTCAATGATAGTTAAGGGAGCCTATCGTCTACTGCGTCCAACGGTGAATCTAAGAGACATAGTAACAGAGCGTTGGATGAGACACCTGAATTTGGAAAGGAATACTCGGTATCCCATCAAGTGGTTTAAGCGTAGTAAGTCATTACTACTAATTTACTAGCCAAGATTGCGTCCTTGCAATGGCAAGTGAAACACCGATGTCTGCCCATAAATGATTGGTTGATTGACCGTACTTCTTTATAACAGAATGGCCTTGCTCTCCCCTGGTGCAAACTATGTGCAACATCATACCCAGCTAGGTGAAGACCAGAAACAATTGAACACATCTTTTTACAATGCCCTGGGTCAGTCTGGTTATGGAGATGGTGGGATCGAATATGGCGCCTGCTAGGCACAACAACCCCTTGGCCGTGGAACTGGAAACCAATTCTATGTGAAACTTGGCATCCTGAACAAGCGAGCGACTTTGAGAGAAACATGTTCACAGTGGGACGTAGAGCAATCTTTTGGGCAATCTAGTGGAAAAGCCTAAAAGGTGCATTAGGGAGATAGAAGGAGTCCGCCTTGAAGGACCGGCTGTCATAGAGACAATCAAACACCAGATCCAGGTAGACCTTATGTTTAAATGAGAAAAAATAAAGGAAAAAACAGCCTTCATAAAGCAGAAATCCAAATGCAAATTCAATCTTTCTGTAGGGACTGGCTGGGAGGGGAACAAGGAGATTGGATAACGAATGTGCAATGGAAATGGGGGGAGGGGGGGCAAGGAAGGATTGGGGAAAAGTTGGAAAAGGAATATCACCTTCACTTTCATGATTGGACTAGAATTGACCCCTCCATGCCATTGCGGCCTCTTTCAGACTTTGCTGATCTCTTCCCGCCGGTTGCGAACTCAATGGTTGAGACTTAATGGTATGCAGGTGCCTAAAAAAGGTCATCTATGGATGTAGGACGAGATCATTTCTTCAAATTCTCTGATTTGTTTGCTCAGTTACTACCCTGGTCCCCAAAGTAGTAATTAGTAGGGGGAGGGAGGAACTAGTGTATAGCAGTAGGGATCTGGCGCCGAGTTTAGAACGAACATGTTCCCCCTCTCTCCAATAGCCTGCTCAGTCAATCCCTGGATCCCAGGGAAATCAATGCTGGCAGGAACCTCGCACAATCCTGTTTTGATACATTCCAAACTCATTTTGTATATGGGACGCTAGACCTGTTTTCCAGCAGGTGATGCTCCCCACCGATAGATGGAGCCTCTCCCCAGGTGTCAATGGTGTCTGCTCTTATCAGCATCACTAACACAGGCGGGAACATTTTTTTAACAAAAAAGAAAAAAGAAAAAAAAAATGCTACTGTAAGTAGGCCCTAAGGCTGGACACTGGGGGTAAAACAACTACTATGAGCTTTCCTCCTGAAAAAAGAAAACTAAGGGGCAGATTCCACTTCTTTCCGCTTTCGTAAGAACGTAAAAGTGTCGCGAAAGGTGGAGGTAAAACACACGGAACGTGAAAGAAAAACGCGACTCCACATGCCCTACTTCTGCGGGACTTTTCCTAACAGAGCGACACTAGCTTGTGGCGCCTCGAGGATCCAACGGGCTGCGCATCAGGAAAAAAAAAGGAAGAAAAAGACAAGGGCTCCTTCTTTCACGGTGCACGGTATGGGGTAGGCCTCTTTCAAAATCGGTAGAATTTTTTTTTTTTTTTTTTTTTTTTTTTGGGACAAAAGCTCCAATTTATTCGTGGGGAGCCACACGTGCTGGGAACCGGGCCCAGCGTCCCATATAAATTGGACAAACATTTAGAATACCGGGGTCATTACCCGACTTCGGCTAAGAAATACCGAGCACAGTTAAAATTTTTTTTTTTTAACAGAGCTTGAGTAAACCGTTTTTACTAAGATGACCTACCTCTTAAGTTCTGGCTACTCAGCAACCTCCCCCATCAATCCCCTATTCCCCACTTGGGCCCACTTGGGCAAGACTTACCACAACAGAGCCACCATCTTCATCGCTGCTGTACCTTATTCCCATCCTACCAGCTAGGCCCCTCCTTAATAGAACGCGTGATATCCCATCGTCTGCTTCTCCTGTTCACACATCAAGATAACTGAATGATGAACTATGACCCCAAAGACCAGCAAGTGCAATGATTTTGTCTTCGTCATCGAAAAGGAGGTCCCGAGTAGTTCAGATGAAGTCGGTTGACCACAGCCGGTACCCATCGAGACTCCGCTCAATGCCAATCGCATATGTTCCCAACCACCCCATCAGAACTCCCTTCACCCTCCCCAACTCTGTCCTAGTAAAGAGTTCGGGAGACCATATCCTCAGCAAGAGCCAGACACCATCCTCAACCTACAATCTCCTGCCCCGTCAGAAATTCCAGTCTCCGTCCTCGAAAGGGTGAGCCAGCGTTGCCTGAGGCCAATCGAACCAGAATGAACCCTTGTCAGCCGGTACCCATCCGGCAACCAATCGCATCCAATGAGAGATCCCCAGCCGGTACCCATCAGACAACCCTCATTCAACCCTCTTCACAAAGAGTCATCTCGTGCCCTTTGCCCTCCACCTTGGACAGATCCCCCCAAACCAAACAGAACCTCCACTCGCCTGCCCCGAGCAGGACCCTCATAGATTTAAGTTCAATTAACGAATTTTTAACATTGAGAGTCAAACATAACCCTCAAGGAATGGAATCAAGACCTACAAAAGTTAGAAATCTCAAGATCAAGATGACCTACCTCTTGGAATTTTACCTACTCACCCCCCCCCCCCCCCCCCCC